GAAGCATTAATGCAGAAAAATTGTAACATTGCAATAAGGCCAAAAAAAGGTAACTTGCAACAGGTATCAGATGTTTTTGGAGACAATTGTGGTGATTTCAGACCAGTTTAATGGAGCAGCCGTTTCATGAAGTGGTTAACCAGCTGCCATGCACGCCTGCTGCGCTCATCTTGCAAAATTGTTCAAATATTCATTGAGTTCTCTGCTACCTATGCACAGGAGCACACTTTCAAATGGTGATGCCTTGTCTGTATTTAATTCACTCTTTCCTCTAATGTGCAGACACATGGTGCGTACTGCAGGATGCTACAATGTAGGAGGCCACAGAATGTGCAGTGAAACTGCCTGAAACCCAATCTGTGCAAACGCCGTAATATTATCTATAAAAAAGTAAACTGTGAAATGACAAGTGAAAGAGAATGACTGTAGGCTGTGTGAGTATATAAACTGGAGATCAGGTCTGAGGGAAAAGAGGCTCAAATCCCCCCTTTCCTCTCCTCTCCTCACTAAGCTCTGCTGAGCACAGCGAAGTAACTCAGCAAGGTAAATTTAAATAATTCAGTTCCTAGCAGAAGAACCATCTCCTATTGTTATTCATTCGATCTTGGTATGAAGCCCATTTATTTTTTCCCCACTGGACCATTTAGGAAACCACAAAGTTATCGAGTTAGTGATCAAGACTTAATGAGATTATTTACATGCAAAAATAGCCCAGTCACTGGTTTGAACCACTTGAACTTCACATAATTCACGGGGAAATCAGAGGCACTGAAACCAGCTCCCCCTCTCATGGCCGGGAGAGCAGCTGCCTGGAGGATCGCGGTCGTGCCAAGGATACTTTACGCTCTGCAGATGGTTCCCTTCCCTCTCGAGTCTGAAGATAGAGATGTGCTGAGCAAGGCCTTTGTAACATTCCTGTTGAAAAGATAATAGCCAGAAATCAAGTCTGAGCAAAAAAAGGATAGCGGAATAGTTCCCCTAAATACAAAAATCTATCGATGGCCTTTTAGCAACAGCAACTAATTTGGTATTTCCTAAGCAGAGGCTTGATTGATGATACTTGGAAGGGATAATGTTTTTAAATGTTAGAACTGGAATGAAATTATATCATTGTTGATTGTAGTGCATGCCTGCTCACACCAGTTATCATCCTCCGCCTGTCTGAAGATTAATACTCTGTATATATACTAGGAGGGGAGAAAGTGGGAGCAAATTCCTTTCCAGCATTTTTTTAGTTCAGACAGACTTTTTCCTCTGGTCAGAAAGTCTTATTCCCAGCATTTTATATGCAGCAACTGCAGGAAAATGCATTGAAAAGCCTTGGTCCAGAAGGAGGCACACCGTTACTGACGGAGCTGCAAGCGGTGACAGCCTGGTTGTTCTGCTGCCAGATCAATACCATTTTCTGTAAGGTTAGTGCCCAGGGCTGCACTCGCATGTGGAGGTTTCTGATGGACACCTCCCAGAGGTATCTGTCACTGCAGACAGCCTGGTGTGTGCCTTATGCAACCAAAACCTTCCAGGAATGGGGTGTAAGTGCCCTAAGAAGGCATGCCAACAGGATGACCTTTCCCTAAGGAACTGAGAATTATCATGCCCTGAAGCGAGAAGGGGAATTTTACAGCTGTTGGTGCAGCTTAACTTTTGTCTGCTTCTCGCATGGCTATTTACAAGCAAGTGTCATCATGTGCCACCAGTACTATATATGGCTTCAAAATAAAGCAAATTTTCCTTTACCGATGAGAAACACGCCAAAACCACAAAATGCCACTGCAGGTCTTGCCAGCAGAAACAGAGAAATGTTCCTTCTGCGTCAACAAGAACTGGCTCTGTAAAGTAATTTGTGCTTTGTTTAACATCAGCATCGTAGCTGGCTTTAAATTGCTAACAGGAATGAAAGACACCGAGGAGCTGGTAAGAGAGGGACAGAAGGAATGGAGTCTGAGGAGGTTTCGTGTTATTAGAAGTTGCTCCACACCACAGTCATTTGTCAACCCACAAAGAAATTAATGGAGCCCGTAAACCACAGGACTCCCAACCATAAAGGCCTGCAGTTTGTACCTTATTTTGAGCACGTTGAAGTGGTATCCTGATGTGTGTTCTTAGTAAATTAAAACAGGATTTTACGGATAACATGCAAATACAGCGGTCACTGCTCCTCTGCAACTTGGAGGCCCAACTACTTTGGTGTTAAATGGATTCAATCCGTATAAAAGCAAGTGATAGAGTGATGGCAGGATTTCAACTTTTTTGCTTTGGTGGTCTTTTCCAGTGTTTTTTGGATAACCACTTATCAATTATCCCTCCAGTATTATTGCTGAGGGCACTGTCTCTGACAGATCTGCCTGTGTACTGCAAGCTTTCATGGAATTGCCAAAATTACTTCATTCACCATTTGAGCTTTCCTTCACTCAATTTAGGAAAGATAAAGGCATCTGTGTTCCCGTCTGCATATATACATACAGAATTTTTTCATTATTTCTAACAAGGAATCCTATTTTTTTGGACTAGTTTTCAAAAAGTCTTCTTTCAGACCTTAAGGCAACTGAAAATGTAGATATAAACTGACAGACACCGACATGTTTTTTCCAAATTAAGGCATAACGAAATGCTATTTTTTGTTTTACATTAGCGTCTTAACCTTCATATATCTCATAATTTCACTAAGCCTAAAAGGCTTAGCACCTACTAAGGCTTCTGTCAGCGATTTCAACTCCTTACGCTCCGTGTATAGTTGCAACAATTGTTATGTGCATTCCTGTCAGATATCATGGACCTTGTCTCACATAAGAAACAGGCTCCATTTTTAAAATATAATAATATGCAAAGCAATGTCTTGTCATAGTATTTGAATACAGGTATGTAAACTGCTCCCTTTCTCTCTGCCGTAACACAGAACCTCTCCTAATTGCTTTAAAAGTCCTAAGAGGGACTTCTGCTAATAGCTCCCCGAAACAAAAGGGATAGGAGGAGCATGATCCCAAATCCATGAGTAAGGAGCTAACATATTTTGTATCTATTCTACAGAGTAGACTTCTAAGGTTAACATAAATTTTAATTATTGGTTTTTGGGCTGTGACCTAAGACTGTTGATATTACTAGCAGTCAAGCTCTTAGTATCTGAGTGTAAAGTAGCACTTTTTTCTTTAACGGTACTGATTTTTTAAGCCAAACAGAAACTTTGGTTCTGCTTCTTTTAAAAACCACTCTGGCTCCATACCTATGGATGGCTTTCTCAAGTGACTGCCTTGTGAGAAGTGGCCAGAGTATCAGTGCGGTAATGAGCTGCGTGCCTCAGGCTTTGCAGGCAGTTGTTCAACTATGTAAGTCTCAGTTTTCCATTTCCAAAATGATAAAGAAAGAAGGCAACAATGGTTGTTGCTCCAAATTTACACTGTTTAGACAAGATAAGACAGCTTCTCGTTTTATTTCAGGCTGTTTACCTGTGTTTAGGATGGCTCATGGTGGTGGGGGAAAAGGTTCGTAATAAGTTACATTCTTCATAGAACAAGGCAAAAACATCTTTTTTTTCTTATTTGCAATTTGTGCTCATGTCTTATTGGCAAAAGCCCATCTCTGTGATGTTACGCAACTACATATTTCTAGTGCTTACACTGCTGAATGCTGGGTAGAGCACTCACCAAATCAGTCATCTATAAAGATACTTGGCAATCACTAAAAATCAGAATAGAACCCCCAGAGGGTGAACATGCTCCAATTTAGATTAATATTTCATATTAAGAAACACATTCCTGCTCTATTTTGGTTTTCAGGATGCCAAAGAACATGTTCTGGGCATGATTTGTACTAAAACCCCCCCAAAAGCCATTTTTTTCCTATCCCATAAACCTGCTAATCATTTATAGATAAGATCATTACAGTAAGCTCAAATTAGAGTGGAGGATCTAAATCTTTGTATCGTTAGTCAATCTTTCTGAAAATATTTTTTAAAGATCTGTCATAAATACCATCAGTTCTACCAATGTGTCCTTGTTTTCTTTATTTTTTCTTTTAAAAAAAAAAAAATCCAATGAAAAGGAAGGTTAAATAAAATCCAATTATTTATGGACATAAAACTACTTTCTAAACAACGCTTATCGCACAAGAAATATTCCAGAAGACTGATTTGTGATAATTATGTAAAAGTCAACTTGCACAGAGCTCCCTGCAAATATCTCCCCCAGTCTGCAGAACAACAGAAATGATTAAGTAGCTAAAGAGACTTTGCTATGAAAAACTCAGTAACTTTTGTCTGTACAATATATATACGTATGCACACACATCCACAAACGCAAGCACAAGGAGAGGGATGTCCAGCATTTGTGGTTTTATCCTGTGTTTGAGATAGAAATCTCTGATTTAATTTATTGGGAGTACTAGCCTAAATTTTTGAAAGAGGCTGATTAGCCAAATTCAAGGCACTTAAGAAGATTTTGAGAGGGAAGTTCATTTTGAAAATTAAGCTCTTTTTTCATTACAGGCACCTTTTCAAAGTGCAAACACCTAAAATCCATCTGCATCAGGTATTAAAAATAGGGTCAGTAACTGAAACCTCTGGAATTTTAGCATAGCATAGGAGACAAATAACGCACTGTAGGTACCTTGACGCCACAGAGAGTTAGCAAAATACCATTAAAATGTTACAAATACGAAAATAATTTCTCATCTGAAATCCAGCTAAAATGAAAATGTAGCTGTAAAAAGTAGTAAAGTAATCCTTTGCCTCATTTTAAAGCGGTTCTTAATAATAATTAAGGTTCTCTGAAAGATCTTTAGATTAAAAAAAATAAATAAAAAATAAAAGAGGAGAGAGTGGTTTTACCCAGTCAGTACCCATACAATTATTTTTTCCATTGCCTCCTCTTGATTCATGCACTTGCTGTCCATTAAACAGAACTTCTTCCTGTCTTCTTGTTTCTTTTCAGCAGCTGAAACCAAAACAAAATCAGAGCATACAACCCAAGTAATATATAGTGAGTTTCCATTCTTCTGTTCTCCAGGCTACGGCATTCCTGACAGCACGGTCTGGCCCTACCAGCTGCTGCAAACTAACAGCTCAGCCATCGCTGAGGAATACTGGCTGTTTCCATACCTCTGCACAGGTATTTTTTGGGAAAAGGGGCTTACACATGTCTCCTGCATCTTTGTTCTTAACTAGCTTGCTGCCTGTCTGGTCTGGCGATTCTGTGCCTGTTGCGGGCTCTCAGTGCCACGAGCGCTGCCTTCATCCCAAGGCTGCTTTTCCCTTCTTCTGTACCAATGGACAAAAAGCTTTTCACATGAAGACAGCTGATCAAGGATTCTTTTAATAGAACTTTTGAACAAAGAACGATATTCTGTGCCTTTCTCCAAATACCACAGAATTAGTGCAGCGCTGAAGGTTAATTTTCATATAGGTCCTGTGTAAAAATTGTGCACTGTTTGGAGGATAAAAGCCAAAGTCTGATCTCACTGATGTCAGATGAGATACCCCAGTGATGAATGTGGTTCTTGGCTTCCCAGGCAGCCGTCAGAGTCAATGTGTTTCTAATAAGATGGAGACTCAGAAGGGGCCAGGTGCTATATTAGTTTAAATTGTTAGGGTGGCAGGAATTGTGTAGGTTAGGAGATGGAAAACGCTTGCTGCCTTCCCTAAATTCGTAATCCTGGTCCAGTTTGGACTGGCTGAGGCTCTGACTGAGGCTTCCTTTATAAGTCCTTTATGTAATAGTAATAAAGCAAATACTTGATGCTGTATGCTTGTGAGAGACCTTAATTTCAACACTTCAATTTCTTGGTTATTTTGTTTTTGAGCAGAATTCTACGTGTCTCCCTCTAGGTAATTATTTTCTTTGTATTTTCAAAGCAGCCCTTATGCCTGCTATTTACATAAATCTTCAGTTCAAAGGTAGCTGACGTTCATTAAGTGTACTGCTGTACAAAATTCTTCATGCAAGCTAAACACAAAACCTGTGGCTCGATAATAATGCTGTAATGGAACAAAATGTTATATTGCAAAATGACGGTTATGCAAAGCTTCACCTAGACCAGAGTAATTTCAGACCACAGAGTTGTAAAGAGGCTGGCAAGGAGTGGAGTGAATGCTCCTGTTGGAGAGAGCCCCGTCACAGCTTGCAGTCACGCCAGGAGCACATCTGACAGCACCCCAAGGAGAACTTCTGGGGTGTCCACAGCATCACCTTCCTGGCGCTGGGCTCTTTTTCCAGAACAAGGGAGCTGCTCACCAGTAGCTGCAGTGCATCAGGATACCCCGTGTACCTGCAGCTTGGCAAAGCCATGTGTATTTTTCTGTTCTAACAGCACCTGCAGCAGCGTTCAGCGCCTCCACCCACTCACCTGCCCTCCCGAGAAGCAAGGCTATGCTTGTTAGCAGTGCTATGGCCCCAAGCTCCTCCTGCCTTCATAAATCCTGCATGTTTTCAGGGACCCAGGACAGAGATGTTGAGGAGGAAGTTGCAAGCACACCCACAGATAACAGAGCTTGAAAGAATTCCAGGTACCAGTAATGTCTTCTTTTTTTTTTCTTTGAGTGCTTATCTGGGAATGTGTTTACAAAGTATGTGACTGCATGCAGTACCTCCAACATACCACGGCACAACTGGAGAAGTGCCCTGCTGTCCCTTAAATCCTTCAAAACAGAAGGACTCTTTTTCTCAGGACAGAGCAGTCTCATGCCTGAAAGTATCCATATTTGTGTAGTGCAATTAAAAAGGGTGAATGAAGTCCAGATGGCAGCTCTGCAATTGCAGAGATGAAAACCTCCTACAGGGGAGGTCACTAGTACCATCTGAGCTGTGATGGAGGCTCAGATCGTACTGTCCTGCCCTGCCTTACAGGGGCTTAACAGGTTTTAACATCATCTGTGACCACTAAGACCATCTGTGTGGAGGTGACTGACCCTTTATGAGCTACAAATTTCAAAAAAAAACCAGGAGAAAAACCCTGTGTATTTCATCCTGTCAAGATTTTTTAAAACCACGCAAGAATAGTTTAGGCAGAAAAAATCATAGATTATTTTTTCAGCTAGGACCTCCTCTCACAGAGATGCCCAGGAGGACTCCTAAGTATGCCTTAGTCAGAAAAAAAAAAGGCCATTTTCACTGCGATGAAGGAGGGAGCTCAGTCCTGACCTATTGGGGAGTTAGGAACAGGTTCAGTTCCCTGAAGGACTAGGACTGATATCTGGTAGAGAACCTCACTAACACATCAATGAGTTCATTGGTAGCAGAACAAGAAAGGTTAGAAGAGCCTCTTGCTCTGAGAGCCTCAAATTAGCAGCATCCACCACACTAACAGATACAGTGCTTTTCTTTTGTAGGTTACTCCAAGTCTACTTGAAAGGTTGTTCCTCTTAATTAGTTCTACATCATGAAAGAGAAATTAGCTGCCTTCCAAAACAGTCAGTTTTGATGCCAAAAAAATGGGCAAAAGCAGGAGCAATACATATATTTTTCTTGGGGCAGCATAGCAACATTTTCCAGTCCACAAGTGTTAAGAGTGAAAGTAAGCAGGTATTTATTTTGCACACGCTATATTGAATTCACCCCTTGCAGAAGTGGGAGCACTGGCTGGGGCAGACAAGTTGCTGTGTCTGCCAGCTGTGTGTGCCAGCTGGTACAAAGGGAGAGAGCAAGGGGAATTGTCTGGTAAATAAAAACCTCCATTCAGGGGCTGCATGGCTGTAAATGTAACCAGCAGCCTCCACTTTGTGGGAGCAGCCCAGCAGAGCAGGCTGCTTGAGAAGTCTTCATCTTTTTCTTAGCACAACATGCAATCAGTTATCAGTGATGTAAACCCAGTCGTAGCACCTTGGCTTGTTATAACAGTGTAGCAATACTGAAAAAAGCTCAATAAGAGAAAAACAAGGTTGAAATATTTTATTACATTCATAGAGCTAAGAAAATGAAAATGTTGGTTTGTTTTACCTCTGCTGCTTAATACTGAGGTAAAGTCAGACAACATACCAGTACGCAGACATTCAGCATTGGATGTACAAGTATTAGAGTCAGCACGGAAGAAACTGCCTGCAAAGACTGTGCTCAACATATTACAGTCGATACAGGCTTGTATTTATTTATTTTCCTGATCTATGTATATTTGATATTTAGAAAAAAGAACTGAGATACTTGAGTGAAATCAGTCAGTGTCAGAAAAGAGTCTTCCAGTCCCAAAACTTGGAACTGAAAATAGATATTCCTAATTCCAAGTTAGTATACAAAGCATAAGGCTGTTTTTCTCTCTTTGCTTCTGAACAGAAGGAAAGTAGGAAATAATTTCAGTTTTTCATGTGACATTTAGCTTGATAAATCCTAGGAACAGAGAACCCATATATTGAACAAACTTCAAACCCCATCTTACTGAAAAATCCAACAGTAATTTCCTGCTCGTGATAACCAATTTTCTGAAGGAACTAATTTTTAGATATGGCTCACAGAGGACATGCATGAAATTAATAAAATAAATTAAAATTACTTTATTTGTGTATCTCAAGTGGCTACTTATGGGCACGGAGAACACCAGAATAAGAATAAGAGAACATTAATTAGTTTTACTCCATAAAATACTATTTGCTTTGGCAAGAGAATTTCTATTCTTTTAATATCTTAGAATCATTTCTCTTTAGCTTTATTTCTATTACATCTGTACGTGAACATTACTATACACTGCTGTACACTTTGCAGCTCTTCTAATTTCATACTTGCATATAAATTCTAATGTCTTTTCATGATTTGAAAATGCGTTGCAGTATTAATATTCCATGGTTACGTACAACTGTGGGCTTTAGAAGGTGTTTTTTTTTTTTCACCAGTACAATTTGATTCTCTGTAAATGGAAGTGGAAATTGTTCAGTCCAATGAAGCCAAGAAGCTGAAAATCACAAAAATAAAAGGGCCAAGCCTTGTGAACAACACTGTTATTAACTTCAGTTGAAAGACTTTATATAGAATGGTATATTTTCCCTGTGGAAAAGGGCAATATGATTAAAATTTGGGAGGAACCAAGGCCTAAATCAGAAGAAAAACATCTACCCTGATACATCTTCTTACCCAGTATGTTTTTATCTATCACACTACCAACACCTTATAAAATGGGAAAAATTCATTTGCACTTCCTGATGGACCTGGTATGAAGTAAGGAATGCCCGTCCAATATAAATGTCCAGGAAAGAACATAGAGAAAGCAACATCTCTGTGCTGAATGGTGTTACAGGGGTTAGGGTGCCAAAGATTTCAGAATTAGCTGAGGCTGAAAAACAAGTGCATCTGGAGATGTTTAAGGGAGAGGTCAGCTATAGGTTTCCAGATGGCTGAAAAAAAAAGAGCTGCAGTAGAGAGCACAAGAGCTAGCAAGAGGCATCGTCTAAATTAATCACAACCCTGTTAAAGTTCAAGTTTAAGTTGGAGAAGGTGTTCAGTTCAGGGCTGGTTCCCACTTCATTGAAATGCCTCTCAAACTTTAAGCTGCAAACAACAGATATTGCTCTTAGGCTTTCTTAAAATCACAGAGATGACTGCATGTCAAGATCACACAAGCACTCTCTGTTGAGGAAAAACAATTGTCCATTTGTCCAGCTCATGCGGATAGGGTCAGGGTTGTTCAGCACCTGCTTTAGAAAAACACACTCAACAGTTACCACATTTTGCTGCAACAGGTGCTGAACACATCTAACCTTGGGTATGCTAGAAGGCAGCTGTTTTCAACGCTATCTGATGGGATGAGGAAGCTCTGGCATGTTTATTAGCAATAGTTGTACCTTCTTCTGGTTGTGAGTAGCTGACAGCTAGAGTTCGCAATTGCAGTCTCTTCAGAGGAACTTCCTTCGGCCTAAAATCTTTTTGTTCCTTCAGGATGGGTGAATGAGACTGATATTTGTCAGTACTTGTGGAAAACAATTCCTGAAACTATCTGAGAAAATGGTCCTTAATATGAAACAGCAAAAGGTAAATCTTGTTTTGTAGCATGACACTCTAACCTGTAGTGGCACAGCAGTGTAAATTGCTTAGTCCCATAAGAAACAAGTCATAAAAAAAACAAAAAGGTTGTGAATAAGATCACTGAATTACAATTAAATGCTGTTACAACCAAATAGCTCATGTACAACTTCATAAACACTTCAGCTGGTGCTCTTAAATTTCCAGATATATTTACTTTACTCCTCTAAAGCACATTAAAGAAAATGTGTTCTTTGTTGTCTGGGACTATTTTGAATCTTTAGCAGTTCACTTAACACATCATAGTGGCTGTCGTAGGTTTTCCTAAAACACCAGAGAAAAAATGCATACCTCAGGAGAGGAATAAATCTCTTATAAGGTATTAGTGTAATTAAGTAGGTCACCCTACAAAGGTGAAGTCCCTGTTAGTATCACTGGATTTCAGTCCTGATTCAGTAAAGTTCTAAAGTAAGTTCCACCAAAATCTGTTTGCATATACAGATGCCAATTCTTTTCTGAGTCATATTCTTTAATAGTTCTGGTTCAGGTGGATTTTGCCTTTCACTTCCTGATGGAGAGTCAGCCCTACAGCACGTGACAGGGCCAGATGTCCAAACATAAATTATAATTGTGTCTTTCAAGTTTATTACTCTTCTTCTCCTGACTTGTCTCTGTGTAAACCCATCCTATCCCAAACATGCCCGCTCAAAAGTTGCATTCAAACCCTTGTGTCCTGTGGCAAATCTGCAAGAAAGCAGAACGGTGAGGTTAGCATTTTCAAACCTGCAGATGTTCACAGAAAAGCACACAGAAGGGCTGAGATTGGAAGGAACTGACTGTCTAGTCCAGCCCTACCTGCTCAGAGCTGAAGCAGGTTGCTCAGGCTCGTGTCCAGTTGGATTTTGAATTATCTCTAAGGGCAGAGACTCCACAGCCCGCATCAGCAACCTGTTCCTGTGTTTCGCACTTAAAATTAAATATATATATATATTTATTTATTTTTCTTATGTTTAAATGGAATTTCCTGTATTTCAACATGTGCCCATTGTGTTTTGTCCTTCCACTGGGCACTACTGAGAAGTCTGGCTCTGTTTTATTTCCTCCCCACCATCACAGGGTTACGCACACTGAGAAGACCCCCTCTGAGCCTCCCTTTTCCAGACTGAAGAGCCCAACCATCAGCCTCTCCCTGTTTTTTGCTGCAGGAATTGCGATTAGGTCCCTGCTGTCCTCTAAGAGGATGAATGTTTGCCTGAGGGGCCTGCCCTGGAAGCAGGTGGCAGTCCTGCTGAGAAAGGTTTCAGTGAAAGCTCCCGGCATGTGGAGGCAGGCTCTCGAGGGAAGCAGCTCCTTTTTTCCAAGGAAAGCTCATTTAGGATATGGACTACGTCATCCTGCAAGAGGAATTCAAGGAGTGGCCACCTGAGGCAGAACATATGATCTGTCTTTTATGGTGTATTCTTCTTGTAGGGGTTTTTGTCTGTGTGTTTCAGTCATGGTGGTAGTGGTGGTGATGGTGGTGGTTTTCTTTTATTTTAATCAAAGACAAACACCAAAAATATGATGAGCCAATAATTTTCACACTGTAGGAGAGCACGAGAAGATTGAACTGTCTTTCAGGTACAGAACTGAATACTGAAAGATTGTTTGTGAAGTATGTCTGTCTGAAGCATTATTCTGAAGCATTTTATTTCAGTAAAAGCTTTGGAAACAAAGCACAGGTAAATGGAAGCAAGTTTTGTGTAGCACATAAAGCACAGCCCGTCAAAAGAACTGGTTTGTATACTGCAGTTTTAGCTCCTAGATTTGAGGGTGTTCACTTCTCTGACTCAAGACAGCCCTTCGATGGAGGCTTACAGACAGCACACATCTCCTGTTTCTGACATTCCCTCTACGTTCAGACTTTAGGTCTTCCCTGGCCTATGGCAGATCTTTATTTGCTACTTGTCATTGCTTAATCCGTCTCATATTGGGGAAGTTTTGAAAACAGGGAGGCATCTGGCTTTGTCATTAGGCATTATATTAATTTGCCTGCCTGGTACTACACTACAAAAACCAGGATGCTTCCTTTAGCTTTCTGTGTTCTCACTCCTCTTGGACATAGCAGGGAGATCGGTGTTTCTGATGCCCCTGAGGTAGGAATAGCCTGACATGAAAGATGGATCCCAAAGGACTGAATAAACAAACCAGATGGTCAAAGGAGCTGACAGACCAGCTGTCAATGCAGAGAAGCCAGTGAAGGAGAAGGGGTGTGACCTCCTCACTAGGCTGCAGAGTTCTCATAGCTGTTCAGACAAGCAAACTCTTTCCTTTTCTGATCCTAAAGATGAATTCATAACTACTTAGATGCAAATGCAAGCATTTTATGTTTTAGTCATTCCAGAAATGGCTGAAGACCAGCTTTGCCATCATACAAATAAGCGATCCCTACCAGGCATGCAGTTTTCAACTTCCTGCTCTCCCAGCTCCTCAGAGCCACTGTTCAGGTAGCAGCGATGGTCCTGTGTGCTGAGTCACATCTTCACAGGGTGTTTGCAAAGCGCTTCATGGGCTGGAGGTGGCCCAGTGACAAGAGGGATCTCATGCAGTTGCAGTTGAGGAATGTGCCTTTCGGTGGGCCTGTTTCTAGAAAGACCTCACAAAGCTGAGTGGACAAAAAATGTCTAATTAGCTTCAGCATTAAAATAATAATAATAAAAATAATAAAGTGAAGTAATTCACCTTAGAAAAATAGTCTAAAGTGTGCTTGTAGGATGCTGAGCTTGAAATTGGCAGGCACAGCTCAGGGAAGAGATCTTGCAGACATCACTGGCAATACTCTGAAATCATCACCTTGAGATACAATATCAGCCCCAGTGTGCACACACACACAAACAAGTCAAGTATCATCAGAAAGGGCATTGAGAACGTAATGGAAAGCATCATTTTGCTGTGGTACAAAATCTTGTACTCACATCTTGGGTACTGTGTGCAGTTTGATCTCACATTGCAAAAGGCACAGTAACGTTTGAAAAGGTGCAGAAAAAGATGAGAAATTATTAAGATTCTCAAGCAGCTGCATTGCAAGGAGAGACTTAAAGGTCTAAGTCTTTGATTTTGAGTGGGGATTGGTCAGTTAGAAATGTGAAGGCATTCAATTAGGTGGATGTGGAGCTGTTAACTCACCAAACCCCTCATTATAAAACCAGGTGTCACCTCTTAAAACTAGTAGGAAACGGGTTTAAAACAGGTAGAGGTACATATTCTTTCACACAGCAGGCGGTCAAGTTCTGACATTTGTTGCCACAAATTTTGGAGGCAGATAGCAGATGCTAAAAGGAATTGGAAGTGCCTGGAAAACCAGGCAGGAATTGCTTAACCGGTGACTGTGGACACAGGAGCAGTAGTAGGGGGATCGTGGCCAACAGTGCAAGCTCTCCCAGTTATCATTTCCTGCAGCCGCTGGTGGGGTCAGAATACTGGTCCAGCACGGTAGGGTAGATCTTACATTCCTGTTTTCAATACTGAGCTCTGCTGAGATGTAATTCGCATTTGCTTCCCAGCATCGTGTACAGGAGCCAGCTGGTCTGCAGATTACGGATCAGTAGATCAGATCCTAATACTTCTGGCGTGCGGGGTCACAGAGTGGCAGAAAGACTGCAACAGCATGTAGTAAGTCCATGAGAATCCCAGGCAACATCTGGAGAGCGTGACACGTGGTCGAATGATTAAGTCATCTGCTCCACAGCACTCCTGGCTGTTTAAGGACTTCTGTCAGAGGAAAGCATTGAGAACATCAGGATGAAGGACAGCAATAATGAAAAATATAAATTATTCCCTCTGATTCCTTCTGTTCCTCTTCTGGCTCCCACTACAGGACTTGCTGAGAGTAGGATTATGGGAGGCCATGAACAAGCTTAAAATCTGTGCACTACTTAACCACCTCCTATTTTGTATGTGGGAAGGAAGTGGCCTAAATCTGACCCATCTAATATATATAATATATTCCACAGCATGTAATGTTTTGACAGCTTAAGTAGATATACGAGCGCTGAATTGGTAACTCGTTCAAATCAAAATTGGTATGCCTCCTATCTCAGTATTGCAAGTTCTGGTTTTATTCAGATAATTGTGTTTATTTTTTCTTTTCCAACAAGATAATTGTGCGTATTACTTCAGCCTCTGGTATTTGTTAATCTTGTCCAGGTTTTTTCTAATGCACTTCCATGAAATTTTAGATACAGATATCATCTGTGTTGGAAATGGGGAATGTAGGCACTTGACAGGAGTAGAGGGCTGAGAATCTGTTTTGCTGGCCTCACAGAGATGTTGGTTAGGGTCAGAATTTTCCCCCCAAAGTACAACACTACATGGACTGCGTGAGCACATCACAAATGGGCTGATCTTTCCAATGTGCCTGTTCGGAACATGCCTTTTCTACAAATGAGGGGTTAAGGCACTGAGAAATTTGTGTTTTGTGGGAAGTCAGTGACAGAGATAAGCTGGAGCGCCTTAACCACAAAGCTGCTGGAGGCCAGTTGAAATGACGGGCCGTGGGGCGAGTCTTTTGTGAGCCTGATGTGATCACAGGGCACTTCCAGGGACACTGTCTAACAGAGAAGGATGAGTTTCCTCTGCGACATTTAGTCTCCTCTAATAATGATAATATTTGGCACACATCAGATACTTTCCTTGCAGCTGTTTAAAGCCCTTCGGAGTGCCTGTTATACAGGAAAGTGGTATAATGGGAGTTAAAGCACTGGGAATCTGCACAGGTACAAGGGGGGAGAGGCTAGGTTGGTCATCAGGAAAGCTTTCAATAGATCCCGTAAGTGTGAACCACCAGGCATTTGCTTTAGTCACATGAAGATTCATGACTTGCTTTTCCTTCAGTGCTCCTCTCCCCTCACCTTCTTCTCTTTTTGTGTTTCTTTACTCAACATCGTTTTTCCTTTGTCCAGCTTGGCTAGTTGTTCTTGATGGCTCAGTCTCTAAGTCTTAAATCACCCTACACCCCCTATAATGTCCCTTCTGGCTCTTGAGCCCCTGCTTGTGCACTGACTCTGGAAAAACTGTATTAGCACTCAAGAACAGGGCTCTCACACTTACACAGAGAAAGAAATGAGAGAATCGGGAGTGTCTTCTGATCATGCTTTATTCATGTGGAAGTCTCACAGGCACGTAGTTGTTGGCATTGCTCACAGACAATAAATTAACAGCTTGGAAAGCTTGGAGCTTCCCTCATCCCCTCACCTTGTCCTTGAACCTGAGATCAGCAAGAATCATGAGCAAATGTGCTTCCAAGTAGTCTATTCTTGTATCAATTCATGTTCTGCAGTAGTGCTGTGGTCTCTAATTTTTTTTTTTTTTTTTGGGGGGGTGGGTAGGGGAGAATTACTTTAAGTAAGTTGCGTATACCTCTCTGTAAATTACACCTCACCTTTTTTAAAGACCATTAGAAAGACAGGTCAAAAATTACAAAAAAGGTACAAAAGGCTGGGGAAGTGGACTTTTAGCTCTTCCACTTGCTATCTTGATGGATTAATGAGAAGATAAAAGATATGAACATGCTTTTGCAGTACTTCATCCCAAAACATGAGTTCAGTTGCTTAAAGGAATCTCTGTCTAGATATAGTCATTGCCTTCCCTGTCTCTCCTGGATTTCATTCATTGCCCTTTTTCTCCTGCCTCTAATGTTATTCCCTCCTTTGCCATTGGTATTACCTGTCTTCCCAGAATTTGGTAGATGCTCCCAAGGAGGTCTTCCAAGAAGCCTGGCAAGGAAGGCAAGGTTCAAGAGCCATTCTGCAACATACTTAAAACAGATTTCAACAAGCCACTGAAGGATCCTTTCACTCATTTATTTTAACTTTGGAAGCTCAATCAGCTAGTTGTTTGGGTTGCTAGTACTCACAGTAGCAGTGAAAGTGATTAAAATAATAAGAAAAAAAAATGTATAAAGCAGATGTTGTTATAGATTTGTGGAAACAAACAATCCTGCAGTTTCTCAAACCCATGAGAAGAGGAATGGCTGAAGGAACCTTGCTCATTCACAGTCTCTACTTGTGTGTGCAAATTTCTACTGATGTGAATGACAGAGATAGGGTTATGTATGTCTGTCCTTCCTATTTGATGGCTTGTGTTAGATAGATCTATAAAACAGCTTCCAATCAGTTTTAATTTTTTTAACCATTTTAGGGATTTCCTTATGCAGCTTATGGTAAGGCGGGATGAATTATCTTGGCAACAGGCTAAGTCAGGTACACAATAATTCTGGTCATGCAGCCCTAGTGCAGGTGAGTATATTTTCTAATCTGCAGCACTGGGCACTGGAAAAGGTTGTCTTGCCTTTGCAAGCAATCCATCAAATCCTTATCTGCATTTTTGGACACTCAGTGTCAATACAGACATAAAGCTGAGCAGTTTAATGATTGCAAATGAAGAGGTGGATTTTCTCAATTCCTTTTTTCTGTCAACACAAAAATGACAGAACAAGGCCAATGGGAACACATTACACATGCACATCGCTGTAGCAAAGAACTTAGCACGCTAATTAATATATTTCTCATACATTTGAAATTTTATATCGCTTACTAGATAATTCAGTAGTCTTTGATTAGGAAAGCCTGGAACCAAACCCCCCCCAAAAAAACAACACAAGAAGAATTGGGAAATCCCCTATGACACGATGCAAAACTGAAGAGGAGAAATTATAACTTAAGACAGAGAACATTCTGCTCCCTCTGAGGATTTGTGAAGAAGGGCAAATGAATAAATCATAGAATCAATCACAGGATCAATCATAGAATGGCCTGGGTTGAAAAGGACCTTAAAGGTCATCTAGCTTCAACCCCCCTGCTCTGGGCAGGGTTGCCAACCTCTAGAGCAGGCTGCCCAGAGCTGCATCCAGCCTGGCCTTGAAATGTGAAGGGGTAAATAAATGCCTTAGTCTGCTCTGCTATTGGGGTTATCCTTAAAATAAGATGGGCTACTCTGTAGCCTCAAAACCACAGTAGAAGACGTATTCTGACATGCTGGGGAGTTAGAAAACTTGGTAAGACAAGAGACGTTAAGCATCTGTGCAGGGACAAATGAATTGCGCTTGGATATTGTCTTGGTACACGATATTTTACACCAGGATATGCTGGTTTGTTAGGATCCCCTTAGGAAAGGCAATCAGACAGTATAAATTATTGCTTAAAATGCCACTTATTGAAGCTAAGCTATAAAAAGGAGGGTAGTGTAGGTAATAGTTTCTTCACATGCATGTTCCCAGCATGTGAAGTGAGACTCTGCAGGGTATTAAGTGAATACCAGAACAAATTTAGACTGAACATCCCTGTAGGTATTGAAGAGACACATGGCCGTAGCACTAAGAGACATCATTTGATATGGGACTTAGTAGGTCAGGTGGATGGTTGGACTTGATCCTGAAGATCTGTTCCAACCTAGATGATTCAGTGATTCTAGAAAGACTTACATCACGCTAATCTAATTTCCTTCTATAAATTGGCTATTGGCCTTGTGGATACCAGAGAAAGAGTAAATGGTCTATCTTAATTTGGTCTTAGATGATATAAGCCACCTAGGGATGTATGGTAAAGCAAATCTAATACATGGTGAATGGAAAAATGGTCAGAAAATTGTACTCAAAAGATAGTTATTAATGTCTGTCTCTCAAAATACATGATGGTAACAAATACATCTTTAGAAACAACTTTTCTTGAATCAGTATTTATGTGTTTTTTATTAGTGCTGTGGGTGACTAAAAAAGATTGTAATAATAAAATATTAAATAAATAACTTCTGTTTCAGTAAGGACAAACACAAAGTTGTACACTTTAAAATATTTACTTGCAGGTGTGAAAGATGGAGAACAAACAGCTAGATGGCGTTTGTGAGCAAAAGGGCAAGGAGATTTAGATCATAATGAAGGATGTGTTAAAATGTGTTTAAGACATACCTTTGAAGCGTGCATCGTAATTCTCCCAGCCAGCTCTGGCAAAATTTCATCTGGAACATCATGCTTAGGTCAGGCTGCCCATTTTAAGAAAGCCATGAACCAGAGTGAAGCAGCAAAGATGATCAGAAGTCTAGAGAATTGACATCTGAGACTGAAAGGATGAGGTTTGTTTAGTCTAGGGAAAAGGAACTGAAGGTAGACACAAGAGCAGCCTTTAAATACCTACAGACTGCTGGGAAAAAGGTAGAAATTAATTGCTCTTCATGTTTATTGATGATCAAGAAAAAATATAATGTGCTTAAACTGCAGCAGGGGAAATTCAGTTCAAACATGAGGAAAGACTTCCCAACTTCAAGATGATTAAGCACTGGAATAGATCGCTCATCAGATACAATAGTTTGGGGCCCTTTGATACTCTTCCAGCCTTCTTGCATGGCACAAAGAATCCCTCCCCAGCAGTTCAGCTTAGGAAATGTTTTGTGTAAGTGGAAATGAGAAATGCTAGAAGGCAAGGTGTGGAGACAAGCTCATAATTTGGATTAGATGGAGTTGGGTCAGATGAAAAGTTAGTGCAGAAAGGGTAAGGCTGTGTGAGCTAATGGGGTCATTTAGGGGTAGAGGAGAAGAAAACAGACCTAAATGAGGTTTTGGTGGGGTGTGAGCCCCAGCATAACTTCAAGTAAGGAGTAGGTGGCCCACTTTGCTTGATAATTAAGCAACTACCAGAGAAACTCACAGAAACTGCAAATATAACTAAAAAGATAACTTGACTTTTCTAATTTTGTCGTCACCCAAACAATGCAATTTCAGTGTGTCATGAGACATTTAGTAAAAGCATCTTCAAATATCCACCATTTGATCAGGTGGCTGTCAATGGTGAGTTACATTGTGAATGCCAATTGCATCATGTTTCTCGAACTTGTTTGATAGAAACACTGCAAAAAGATTTTCCCCCAAAAATGGTGTTTAAAGAACCTAGGACAGACTTTTTGAAGAAATTCTTTCCTTTTGCAGTGCTTACAATATATATGCTAGTCTACATGCTGACTGCATATGCTGGTTTGCCGTTCTGAAATATTAATCTCCCATTATCCAGTATATTGTTGAGCCTCTGTGGGAATTCACGCTTTGTACAGTTGGCTGACAAAGCAATCTGCTCCTTCAGGATTCAGTATTTTGTGCTGCATTGTGCTAACCACAGCTGTGCAAGGCCACGTGATAAATCTGGTTAAAAAATTTTACTTGACTTGCATTAGCCGAATATTTTAGGGACATTCCTAACAGAATCTTACACTTCATAAACTTCCTGGGCAAGTTTGCTTTCTGTGTAATTATCGATAGGGCACTTCTACTAGCATACTATTTCATTTATATAAGCAAACTGATAATGGAATATTAGACAAAATTGTAGTGGAAAGTTACAGCTGTGGCTAAGTGGAACTCAAACACAGGCAATCACAAAATATCCCTCTTGGATGAACATCATGATTCTCAAACTGTATTTCTGTGACTAAAATCAAAAGACCCAAATTGAAAGGAACGGAATTTAGACCCGATTGATGATAGGTAAGTAACTTATATTGAAAATTTATATTTAAAATTTTATATTCAAGATTTATTGATGTGTGCTAACTGTACCTAGAATATTCCATTTAAAACCTTGTCCCTTTGTCCTTGGTTATGCATGTTTACACAGCCAGAATAAGTTTCTGTCTCAAAGGGTTTCCAAATTAAATGTATAAGAAAGAAAAGGGATGGAAGTGCACAGAGAAATGAGCATGTTCCAGATTTTGTAGGCAAGAAGCTGGAAATTTTATCAGTAGTATTTCTGAGTCCCAGTCCAGTGACTCAGTAAAGCATATCAAATAAAGAAATCTAAGTTTAACTTACAAATACTCCTTACAGGTCCAACTGTGCCTGGCTTGCTCATGATATTTGTGTTGTTGATTTCAAAAGGCTACTGATATTATTGGGAGGAAGACAATTTAGCCGTAGAGTTTTCTAGTCTTTCATTTTTTTTAGACTGTTGATATCCTTTCTTTATTCAGTAGACAGATGAGCAGATGTCCCCCAGAAACACATCTCATGAATGTAGTAAGCCTTCATGAGACTCTCCCCATTTCCATCTTGCTGTGTTCTCCCTTTACACTGCCTATTTTGTATAAGTAAGCATATCAAGCCTTTGTTGACACAAAGAATATATCTCTCCTTTATTACAGAAGTCCTTTTGGTATTGCTGTTTCCCTGCAAATAGTCCTTTTCCATTTTCATTGTGATTCACTCCCGCTGAATTCAATATGTTTCAGATTATGTTTCCCCAAATGTATTTGTTTGTAAGATATGTTTGCTTTCCAGTTGATTTCCACTCATTATTTAGTTTTGATACTAGTGATACTATCTAGTGTAGATTTGTCTACACTGTTATTTGTATCTCCTACCAAATCAAAATCATATAGTAGCTTTTCAACATAGTCTACAGTGGGAATTTTTTAATACTTAAGCAGGAAACGTTACATGCAACGTAAAATGTGTGAATTTGAATCAAATCATTAATGCAGGCAAAGCTGATCAAAAATGACAGCTCTTAAATTGCATATCATGTCAAGAAGGTGAAATAAGTACCTTTCAGTCATTTATTAACTAGTATTTGTAAATTCAGTTATGTAGAAATTTGTATTAGATTGAAAGCATATAAATCTTACAAATTCTATTGTGGGAGTCACAGAATTACTGGTAAATGAACATGTTTACTGAAGAAGAAACTGGGTTTAGACTTCAGTTTTATAAATCCTGGTCATGACATTATTCATTCTTCCCTAGGAAGAAAGATCCTGAATGCAGTGTACTGACATTTGATCAAACAAGTGACGACTGGATTAGGAGTGGATTTACAAGGAAGTTTGCAGCCTTCCAGTGAAGTGGCACGGAGGATGGTAAGAGTATGTCCAGTAGATCTGTGTCAGTTCAGGGTCCAGTTCCTTTGTCTCTCAGATATGTGGTCAAGAAATATGGCATAGGAAACTTGCTGTACAGCATCTGGCATCTTAGCAAGGAAGGTAGCTTTAAACAAGCTTCACACCTTCCAGTGACACTCCAGAGGCTTGAGAAGTGTTTGGTTTAATTTAGACAGTGTTGTCTGTAATTTCCTAAGCACTGCATGGGGTTTCATTGCCTTTAAATGTATTCCTTCTGACTTCAGAGTGCTTCTTGAGCTTGAAAAGGAGTCCTAGAGCGAACATTTTATGGCCTCCTTTCTATATTGCTCAGGCAGTCCTCACTGAGACAAACTCAGAAATTTTAGTCTGTTTATACCATCTGGCTACTTTTGTTTGTCCTGAACCTTCCATTAGAAAACCTTAGCTCCTAAACATAATGCTTTGACCGTATTAAAAGACAGCTAGTGTTTTGACTAGATTGCTTATGCCAGCGGCCCTTATGGAGCGGCATTAGAGGATGTGATAGAGAATGATCATCCTTCTATGCAATCTGCCTAGCATTGTTTAATGAAGCCTATGGAGAAGATTTTTGGTCTTAGATTTTTATTTATTTATGTATTTATTTTCCTTCATTTCTGTAATGGTCTTTAGAAAATCCTGTCAGTTCTCTGTCTTCTTACATTTTATGTTTTTTCCACAAGTACTTCGTCAAATGAGGGAAAAATAATTCCTGGGTTTCGGTTTTCAGGTTCTTTAGAACTGTGTAGAACTACACAAGGATATTGCACTTGACCTCATAGAAAACTCATAAGAGTTTAAAGTTAATTGTTACCTAAAATTAGAAATCAACTTACTGTTAGTACAGCATCCTGTCTTCCCAAACGCTTCTACTGCCCAACAGTTCCAGTGCTTTGCTCTCCCTCTCGACTGGCCTGCAATTCTCTGTTCTATTTTTAAAAAAAAAAAAAAAAAGGCTTTGCTGTCATTTTTCTATGGTTTTTCTCTCTTTCTCAGGCACCTCCTCCAGCTTTCAGCACAGTATTGAAAGCTCCAGATCAGATCCTGCTTTCACTTATGCCACAGAGATAGGATTACGGCCTTCTCACCCTTTTCTGTTCACAACTTTTTGAGCTCTGCTTTGTTTCAGTGCAGAAACATGCTGGGTCCTATGTGCTATTACCCTGCACCACATTCATTTCTGCCTGGGCAAGCAGCAGTGTGACCTGGTAGAGTTCTACAGACTGTGTGTTTTCACTTAGGATCACGGTTACTAACATTGCAAAGGGCAAAAAGTAAAGATAAGTTGGGCCTATTGTACCGAGTTGTCTCACTTACGTAGCATGTGGTCACACCTAAATGTCAGATACAAGACATATATCAGGATACATTTTCATGGAATATTAGAATCCACCTCAGGCATGAAAAGTCCTTTCTGCCCTTGTGTTTTGTAAAATAAGCCCCTTGCAAATGCAAATAGGATGGCAGTAAATGAAATAATTCAGCAAAACACGATTCATTACATTGAAAATGCATACTCTCTTCCCTCCTGCAATGTATTCCAATGTTTAAATCAAGCTTCATGTTTCTTTTAAATAGTCTTTAAATTTGTCTCAATGGAAAAGTTATTTCAAAGTTTGAAAATATCCTCTGTCATATTATTTATGAACTCAAAATATTTTTCCAGGACCATACATTATTTCTAAGCTTGTTCCCCCAGGAGTCCCATTATTAAATGAACTTTAAAGCTACAGTTGGAAGGTGAATTTAATACCAGTCATATAAGACATAAAGTTCCAGTCCCACAAACACATCTGCGTCTAGCTTTAAGCCGGTGAGTTTTTCTACTGAATTCAGTGGAAGTATTCCCACTAAAGTTAAGTACATCTATTAAGTGTTTGGAGGCCTGGATCTGAAAGTACCACAGCAATATCATAAGTAAATATTTGTACAGCCTTTCCTTTCTCTAAATGTTTAATTCTCTGAGCATCTTTAGGATTCCTAGCTAAGTCTGTTTTGCAATATTAAAAAATCTGGAGCAAACCAAAAGCTAGGATTCTGCAGACCTTGCCAATTTTGATTTACATGGGCACCAAAAATTCTGGCTACTTCACGTTCTGATTTGCATCCCTGCTTCAACTTAGTACAGACAAAGAAAATTTAGCAACTTCAGCTAGAGCATTATGAAATATAGATGTGTTTATTTTGGTTTTGATTGAAACCAGGAACAGGACAAATAGCTGCTTATTTGGAAATTCTTAAAGGTAGGTCAAATTTAGAAAAAATAAGTTTGTTTTGGAGAGGACAATGTTTCCAACTTGTCTAGGCTTAAAAAAAAGAAAAAAAAAAAAAAAAAAAAGACCTTGACTGAAAACATTTAAATTCTTCTTTAGACAGAAATTTGAAGTTAAGTAAGTGTAAACACAGTTTCACACCTTTTAAAGTGTGTTTATTAGCACAAGCCTACATTTTAGTTGTAACTCGCACTTTGTTTTAAATATGACCTATTTTTCTTATCTGAGCCACAGAGAGACAAGAGGAAGGAAAAGGAGTATTCCACAAGTACACATTTCACAGGCACACAAACAAAATACCAGCTCTGCTTTATAAGATTCATTTTAAGATGGAACTGTAGCATGTTGCATGGTCAGGAGGTTTAGAAATATGTATTCTTTTATCATATTCCATGTCTCTTTGTATTCTGACTGCGCACAAGTGATGGCTGCAGCCTGTCACCATTAGAGATTGAGAGGCTGCCAGAAGTGTGCCGTAGACATACAATGCATGACAAGTGAAAGTAAGTCCTGTTTGCCACTGTTCCAGCTACATTCCTGCGTAGGTCAGTACTCACTTCTGTAGAAGGTGCTTTGCAAATACAGAGGGGAACCGTACCTCACATGGGGCGTATAGAAGGTCTACAGATCTATAGGAATATCTTATCGCATGCCACACAGACGTGTGGGAGTGAGGGTCCGTTGCTATCACAGAAGTGTCAAGACTGCACATTATGGGAAGGGGGGAGCATAGCTGCAGCAAAGGAAGCAACTTATTTTGGAATGAATGCCATCCTGATGGCAACAGGATGTGTTTGTATATATGTAGAGTCTCCTGATATGTGTCATTGTCGGTGAGTGGAAGTTAGCTGTACCCATCTGGCCAGGAGCCACTGATCACCAACAGGGACCAGAGAGGTCATTACAGAAGGAACTCCACCTCAGTCTGATTTGCTGAGTGTAACTGATGGGTGAATATTAGGAAGCGATAGAATATTAATTCAAGAATTACCCATTAAAATTTGAATAGGCTTTGCAGCATAAACTTTTGAACACTTAGAGTATTTCATTTGTTCTCTTTATTTTTAAGCAAACTTGCACTTCACCTCAACATATAATCTCTCCAGAAGATCTTGGAAATCAGTAATAATGCTGATATTTTAAGTGGCAGTAAGAAAGTTTAACAAAACATACTGGAAGTACTGTATGACTCATATATGAATTCTACCATCAGTTAAACAAAAAGCCATATTCAGTGTCTGCAATAAAGAGAAAATATCTGTTTGGATAAATCTAGACACCACTGCATTCTTAAAAAGAGAAAGAAAAAAGCAACAAATCCTACAGTTGCCACAGTCTTGCATAAAAGAAAACCCTTGCATTTTGAAAACTACAACAAAAACAGAATTAATTGTCCCAAAGCACTCCAGATCACTGCAGAATTCCCAGCCTCTTAAAGCATACACATGGCAGTTAATTCCAGATACCCCTGACTCTTCCAGCACAACATCACCTAGAAATCTCCCTCCCCATGCAGGCCAGCGCACCTCCCTGCCACTCTTGACAGGCTTCTAAACACAATTTGACATTGGGCCTGATGGAGGGGGTGTTTTAGATGATCTGTATCTTTTTGGCAGGCAAAAATGTTTCTATTCCCATACCCAGGGTTACCGTAGTAGAAGAAAGGAGAAGAAAAACAGAAATGCATACAAGTCAGAAGACAGAGTCAACAAAATCTTTCTTTTTCACATCTTGTTTTCCATGCTGAGCTGTGTTAGACCCTGAGACTGATTTCCTTTCCAAAAATGAAAAAAATGAGAAATAGAGGACAAGCATTCAGATGCCTTGCATGACAAAGACTTATAAAAAAAAAATACTGTCAAACCAACAAACCCTGGGAAATAGCCAAGGAAATATCATTTCTCCTAGCTTTATTCCTTATAATTGAACCTAATCTGTAATAGGTTTGCATTGGTAACAGAATTCACTCTGCTGGGGTAAAGCCTTTCCTTGGAGCAAAAAAAGCTATCTTTTATCCATCTCCTGAATTATTCTTTGCCAAGAAAATCTACATAGCTCCAAAGTTAAACAAGATATTTTTGTTCCTAGCTACCCACGAAAGAACATCTTTCAATATTGTTTTGGAAATACTGCAGCACAATTAAGATAGAGCATAAATCATAGAAGGAATATTTCCTGTAGCCTTTGAAATGTTCTAAAGCAGCCTGAAGTGAAAGCAAAGACCTTTGCTGTTGCTTAATGCCAAGTGAATATTTCTGTCCAAGAAACCTATTTATGATTAAGATCTCAAAAAAAAAAAAAAAAATGTTCTCTTCTGTTTCAAAGGCAGAAGATATTACAGTGCTTGCTAATATACTGTTTAAAGTAAAAGAGCATCCAGAAAGTAATAACCAATAACAGCAAACAGGACTTCATGACCTGCTGGGAAACAAACAACTTTGGGCCATGCTCAGAACTCAATAGTCAAAGTCATTTTTAAGTGGAAAAAAATAATTGGGGTGAAGGAAGGAGGGTCATGAGAGAACAGGGGGAAGGGTACCAAGAGATTTAATAATTAAAGTCCCCAAATTAAGATTCTGTATTTCATCTCCACTGGGAGAAAAATGTGGGAAATCATGCAAGTCTGCATTTTCTCCCCTCTTCACCCAGTCAGATTGTCTGAAGGAGCTCTTGAAGAAATTGTTCAAGGGTCCTTTTGTGGAGGACCTTGATCTCCCTGACATCTCTCAGAGTGCACACTGGCTCAGCTTATTAACACAGGAGCAAAACCATGTCTCCGCTGAAGTCAATAGTCAAATTACCATTTAATTCCCTGACATTATTAAAGGTACTTCAGGAGTTTATCTCAAGATATTTGGTAGATGCACAAGGTTTCCACTCAGACTGTGGAAATTCTTGCTGCTTGTCTCAGCAGTTGTTCTCAGAACTGGCTTAAAAGATGGGAGTATCTCCCCTTGGATAATGGAGATTTATGAAATGCTGCTGCAGCTCCACGTACCTACTGCTGGTATTCTCATTTCTGGTCTTTGTGTATGTGGCAGTCTGTATCCACCAAAGGACAATCTTCCTGTCTGAGGTCAGGAGATATTATGTGAGTAAATAGCTGCACTGGATCCACAGAAAGGATAAGATTAAAGGGCAGACATACTTTTTTGTTATTTAGAAGGTGCTTCCACATCATTACCCCATTTTTTTTTGGCTGAGACAGTTGTGAAGATAAAAGCAAAATAAACACCTGTGGATAAGAGGAGTTACTTCTG